CACCCCTGGGTATATAAGGCTGGCACCCTGCTCCTTTGAGCCACAGGTGCCACCCAGCTCTCTACATTCTTTGAACATGAGATTTATGTCTTATTCTCTATCACAGAACACAAAATCTGGCACATCGTATATGTTTAACAAGTATTTATTGTTTAAGAACCCTAGAGAATGTTCCATCTGGCTTTGGAACCAAGAATACGTACGTTTCACATGAGCGGTGGTGTTTGCTTGTCTTTTTAGCTCATGGACACTGCGGAGTAGGAAGCCCTAGCTACTGAAGGGTTCCTGCAGCAGATTTATGGCCCACCTGTGTGGTGGGGCTGTCTTTACTGAAAGCCATTGTAACCACATTTCTATCCCCTTTTATCACCCACCCTTGTTTTGTATTCTCTTTCTGTTTCTCTGTGTCCATCTTACATTGTTTACGGTTTTCACACCTATATCTAAGGTGCTACCTGGCATACTGGAGGCAATAAATATTGGTTGTTTTTCATTAAACCTCTAACCTCTTTCTGACATAAGACATTTCCCCTTTTTATAAAGGAGCAGCTAAAGAACAAACCCTTCCCTTGAGGTAATCCTGAGAAATTCATAGCTTCCTTCCGTGCATCCCGGGGAAAAAGAGGATGGCAGTGAGTTATTCAGCCAGACTTCCTCCTGCTGCCCCTCCCTGCCCATGTCGTTTATTTTTAGGATGAAGGCTGTCACTCTGTGCTTCACACATGCCTTTGCAAGCATGTCTAAAAAAAGCCCAACAAGTAGTTTCTCAAAACTTCTGTCCATCATGAGAATGAAAATAACTCTGTTGTAAAAGATTTTGGAAGTAAGGCTAAGAAAAGAAAACCTCCAGTGAATTCCCAAAGAATTAGAAAGAAGATGTAATTTCTGGACCTTCATTGTCCATGTAAGGGAAAGATGGTCAGAGGATGTTGACAGAACCCAGGTTTCTTCAGCTGGGAGAGAAAAGGCCATCTCTGTGGGTCTAAAGAGAAGTTTCTTTCCTTCAAGAATTAAAGAATTGGGAAAAGCTATAAGGTTTATTAACCCAGAATTAAGAAAAGAGATAAGAATCTAAATCTTGCCCTGAATGGCTGCCTCAGAGGCTTGGTAGGTTTATATATTCATAAGTTAAGACATGAAAGAGAGAGAATGACCTATAGCCATTGTAAAAAATATCGACATATTGTGATCACTACCTAAGAGTGTTGTTAAAACTATTCCTTGTGTGTTCCTTTGAGTTATGTATCATACAAAATCTAAAAAGCTAAATCATCCCTATCCCATGCCTCCCACTAAACAAACGAACAAAAAAGAATTATCTGTAAGTGCTGGGATCTTTATCTTTTCAATCTACATTACATTTTTCCAACTAAGTGTAGACCTCAGTAAAGTGTCACTTGTTGCAATGCATTCTGTGCATGCTAAACCTATCACATGAAATTTTCCCCCCACACAATAAAAGCATAAGATAACTGAATTTTCACTCCAAATTCTGCTTCAGAACCAGGCACATGGCTGTAGTTTGAGCTACAGAAACAGACACCTGGAGTCCTAGTGTAAAATTCAGCAAAATGCAAATCTCACAGGACAGAAAGGCTAAGGACATGAGGAAAAGATGCATCCAACAGGACCGTCCCTGTAGAAACTACACAGTGAGTTAGTGAGTAATTTTGCCCTTCCTGAGATTTCATAGTTTAGTATGTGATAATGGATCAAAGAGTTTAGAAGATTAAGTGGGCGAATGTGACAGTACAACAGAAAAACGTGTTGATGAACATTTACTGAGACTTTATGCAAATTCATCATCTAATCCTCACAGAAACCCTGCCAGGAAGGCTCTGTTAACCCCATTATAGAGATAAAGAAATTGATTCTGAAAAAAAAAAAAAAA